ATGAGTCAAAATTTGGACAAAATTATTTAACTTAGGTGTTTATTTATTTATATCAAATGGTAAGCGTTTTGATAGTTACAATTAGCCCATTAGCTGACTTCGGGATTCACAGAGAGGAGGAACATCAAAGTGGGAAAAATTCGAGAAAAGGTAAGATGAGTACTGTGAAGTGGTTGAATATGACATAGAGTGGGGTCATGGTAGTTTGAAGTCAGAAGTCAACTGCCAGTTAATAGACTTTTTACCGTATGAGCATACGTTGCCCAGGGTTTATCACGTGGAGGTAAATCTATCGCATACCCCATTTAACTTAGGTGCTAGTGTGTGCTATTTTTAACGTCATAAATTAATAATAGGCGAGTTTCGTTAATTGGATGAAAGTAATTTATATCAAACTTTAGCTTTATGTAGTCAATTTTCTCGTTTTTTTAAACATTTTAAACCAAGATGTCAAATCTGCCATTAAGTTCAGTTGAACACTTTCGGTTAAACTCCAACGTCTCCTCTTTGCACTAGTCTTACCATCGAAGCCCCAATAATAGAACAGACAAAACAGTTTCAAAAATTCTCCAATTCTCCTCTATGGCAACCGTTGCATTATGTAGGTGTTGCCATGGTTATGAGATTGAGTGATTGTTTTGGACTTTATTGGAGGAGTTTTATTGTACGTAATGACTTAATGGTTGGCTTTGGAATTATTATTGGTTACATTTTGAAGCACTTTATTCTCCTAAAAAAATTTTATGTGAAAACACCCCCTTAACTTCACATTTTCTATTTAAATACTTTTCGGAGATTTACATTGCTCTCTCTCTTTTTTAGGTGACAAAATCCGAATTTCTGAACTACTATGCCGGTGTTAGCGCATCAATAGACAATAACGCATATTTTGACCTAATGATGAGAAATGCCTACAAACTGTGATTCCCAAACTGCATTGATTTAGATTTTCTTGATGTGAAATTTAATATTTTGATTTGACCATTCTTCTCGCATTTATTTTGACTTATTTCTTATTCACGAGGTTAACTTCTTCATTAAATCCTAACCTTGTACAGAACATGAGCGGACCACCCCACCTCTTCCAAATATTACAATATCAATATAATAGAGGAGGCCGAGGATGTGCTCCACTTCAACAATATGAATGTAAAAGAGGATAAAATAGAGAAGTTACAGGGAGAATATAACTCACAGATAACAAGATAGACACGAAGGAATTGGACAGACAGATTATGTCGAACAGATTTGAGGTGCTTTCCGGTATTTTCAACGAGAAACATCACTGAATGATGTAAGTGGTTTCCTTCTGCCTCTCTTCTTGAGTTCCATTAAGTGATATTGCAAGATGTGAAGAAAAAATGTAATGGTTTTATCACTGCTAACTTTGAAGAATGTCCTCCCCCTCCTCCCCTCCCCTCCCCCCCCCTCAAGATTCAAGACGAGGTATCCAACTGCAGACATGGAAGAGCAATTGAAAAGCGAACCCTCAGCGAAAGACATATGGCAAGTACCATGCAGTTTTGTGAATTAAGATCCTCTACACTGTTTAGGGAGAGTTGAAATCGGTCGCAATCACTGCACGACAAAAACTATGTGTAAGAATAGTAATTTTCCCCTAGTTTTAGATGCTTAAAGATAAAAACCCTGAATTGACAATACTTTTGGCCTCAAAGGCTGTCAAGCCATCAGGATCGGGGTGTTCTAGTGTGATGTAAGGAATGATGGGCGATTTCGATGAAACGTGAAAAAATTAATGGTTCCCATACAAAATAACGACTTTCTAGCTTTGCGATCTATCGGCTCCTTTCGCCCAGCTAGAAGGAAGCTTTGCAGCACATGCCCCATTTGTTGAACGATGTACGACAAAGAAATAAGTATCCTGGTGTATCGCACGGAATTTATTGCTATCTGTTTTAATATTACGGCCGGAAATGCCTGCTGAGGAAAGATGTGATCTCTTTTAGACCTAACAGATTGGTACTTTTCCCCAAAGTAAGTTAATTGATATCGAATAAAAGAATTCACTTGCAAATACGAAAAACATTTTCATTTAGAATAGACAAGTAATTAAATGCCCCTAAGTAGTAGAAATTCCCCCAAGAGGTCTCAGTAATCGTGAACTGCCCCAAATTCCCTTGAGAATGATAGGAAAGTTTATCGGTTTCTATGGTAATAAGAAACGCCCTTTTTATTATCTCACTATTTTATTGCCAACATTCAGTAGGAGTTTGGATTTTTGAAATAATTGATTTTGCTGCACCACTTAGAGAAAATTAAAGTATCTAAATTGTATGGCTAATTTTGTTCATAATGGATATAATGCAAGGTTTCGCTGTGACTATTATTGATGAACAATTAAAAATCAAAAGCAGCATTATCATCACATGAATGGAAATGTAAAATCGGACTTAGAAAGCACTTTAGTCGATATGAATTCTCATAAAAGTGGTCCTATTTGGAAACACTTTAGTTATGCTGTTGCATAATGGAAATTTAAATCTTATGCCGAAACATTTAACATATGACTCCCCCATAATCTTGAATCGATATTCCAGCCCAAGGTCAAATAATGCCATGCGATTAATTCTCTTCTGTATAATCTTTTTGAATATTCTTTCCCATATTTACAGTGCCTCTTTTCTTTGGAGCACATGGTCAGCTTGGCCATTAACTTGTTCCAAGACCTGTGGAGAAGGTGAACGTTGTCGAATTCGTAAATGCCAAGATGGTTTTGGTAAAGTTGTCGATTCTTCTTCCTGTAATGGGGCGGGTTACGAGTGCACGAAATGCATGGTAAGCTCAAAGTGTCCCCACATACCCGGGTGGAGCGAATGGGGTGTATGGGGGGAGTGCATCCTGAGTGAATCGGCCGCGGGCACCAAACCCGATAAAAATGGCTGTCGTCCAGGAACAAAGGCTAGAACCCGACTGTGTAATAACCCCCCTCCACAACCCATTCCAAACTCCCCTATCTGTTCGGGGTCAAATCAAGAGGTCACTCATTGCAACTATGGTTGTCCTGACATCCCAAACTTGAATGAATCTGATATTCGCTTTCAGATCAAACAGCTGATAGTGAATGATCATTTGACCACTCGAGTTATGAGAAAGGATCCGAATAACTATGCTAATGCGGTACTGATTCGTCCAGTTGGTGATAATGCAGTTCTTAGTTGTCTTACTAATTCCTACTCACTTGCTGAACAGTTGCTTGAATTTAAAATTGCAGATATATTAGATACAAGACTACCAAAAAAAAGACTCGAAATCTTCTGGCAACTTGGCGGAAGAGTTATTGCTTCAGAAGATCCGAACATGATCATTAGAGATGCACGTTTAGTTGCACCTGAGAAGGAACTTGAGGCTGAAGAAAATCGACTTTTGAGTCAGTTGCAACGAACTAATCCTGTAATGAAAGGTACTGAGCTACTCCTCAATAATCTAAAACACGAAGATACAGGATTCTATTCTTGTCATGTTAGACTGGGAAAGTATGAGTGGATGACAGTCTTTTACTCTCTTATTGTTCTAGGCAAAGTGGTTTCAGCACCAGCTAAAATGCCTTTTTATCTGCATTCAAATATCGGTGCAAGAAATCCTTTCAATAGGGGTAATGTACACTGGTATGACGCCGCTAAAATTCAATGGACACTTAACGGAGAAGTCATATTCACAGACCTTGTGGTTCGACCAAGAGCTAGGGTACGACAGATACCCCTTTTAAGTAACGACCTGCAAGGCCATTGGGAGTGTCATCTGATTGTACCGGTTCCAAACACACCCACTTCGCTAGGATCTAAGAATTTCACTCCCTCAGGAAGATTTCTAATTAACGCTTTCTTTCTACGCGTTACAAAGGGGCCACAAAGTTTATGGGAAATAGGAAGCGCAACACGCGGAATAAAAATCCTAAGATACATTGCGATTACAACATTAGCTCTCATTTTTCTACTTCTAATCTTGTTTATTTTAACGATCTGGGCAGCAAGAAGGTGGATAAAAAGAACTCCAGACAAAAAACGTCTTGAAGGAGCAGTCGAAAGGGTGATAGAAGATCGTACAAATATATTCATCAAGGCTGGAGAGGAAGTTGACAAAAGAAGACGACTTCTGGTTCCATATGTTAAACAAGAGAATAGAGAGATCGAAATTACTCGCCAAACAGCTGAGCAGATTACGGTGGAGGAAGCAAAAGCTCAAGTGGTGCGATGTGAAAAAAAGTTTAAGAAGTTGGCTTCTTAAGTTAACTTAAAAACGCGATGTCAGGAAGAAAAAAAACGAATGAGGAAAATAGATAAGGTGGATGTTGAGATTGTCTTATAAGGTTCCGAATTTGAAAGTGTTTCACAAATTCAGTGAATTAAACATAATTATATTTTAAATGCATATGCACCGAAGATAATGGCCAACCGTCAATTAAAAGCCTACTTCAGTGTGGGTGCTTGTAACTGAAACAAAACAGGATTATGAATGATATGAATTTTTGACACATCTATTACTATGAACATCATAAATTGCCTATTTTATTATCCAGTATAATATTTACTAATTCAAATAGTTGAGGAATTTTATACACATAAGCATGGTATAAGCTTTTAGTCTGAGATTGTATTTCTGATTTATCACATTTAAATTTAGAGTCAGGAGATGAGGAGTGTTATGACGGGGCATATGCAGACTATATAACTTGACACAATTATCTAAATGAGTTTGGATGTAGCAAATACGTAGTGTATTTAAAGGAACCTGATGGAATATTATGAATTGTGGTGATTGATTCACTAAGAAGCCTTCGCTATACTCAATAATCTCTATTTCGAGTTCAACTATGCTCGAAAAGACTCCCAGACTGGCTGAGCTACTGCAAAGTTATAGAGAAAGAAGACATATGAAATAGTTTTATTTCAAAGAAGTAATACCAGCAAGAATTTATTTTTCAATAATTATTATATTAAATTCAATTTCATTGTTATTAATTGATGATAAAGTGGGATAGATCGAATGCTTAATAGAAATACTAAAAACAATTTTGAAAATATGAATACTTCACTTATTTTCATAGAAAAAATTTAAAATATGAGTTATGATTTTATTATTAAAAATGAACTAGATTTGCATCAGCATTTGTGAATTGCTACTAGATACAGTTCAAATACTTATTTAAGAATAAATGAACAATATAATTTCCATTTCGGCTTAATTGAAAATAAAATAATATATCGGTTAAAATCTCAATTTGATAAAATAGTTTGTGTTTTTTGTTTGTAGCTTTCATGAATGTGACACACGAAACGGGCATATCGTTTTAGTTATCGCTTCAAGTGCGGGTGTTATGGCTGTAAGTGCGTGATTTTCTCTGATTATTTTTTTCTCTAAAATAGGCCACACTTTTGTTCCTTTTCGAGCATGCGTCGGGGTATGGCATTTTATCCACCAAAATGCATGAACTTGACGAGATTCTCGCCAATTTGAAGAGTGTGTCTGTTGACTATGAAACATTCTCAAAAACGTTCGAGCTTAACTATAGTCCCTTTAAGTCGGCTCAAGTTGCTATTGATAACTGCTTCCAAATTTCCGAGGGTCTCGCTCACAAAGATCTAAAGAAGTTTCTTAAGAAAACACTAAATGATGGGAATCCTTATGTACTCTACGTCTCGGAGTACAAACTTGGTGATGATTTGAAAAATTTTGTGGATGCCAGTCTTTCAAATGTCACTATCTCAACCGAATCAGGCACTTTGGAAGTTTTCCGCCAAATAAGGCGTTATTTCCCACAGTATATTGAATCATTATCTGCATTTGCTGAGACTAAAGCTCACATTGGTCTGGGTCACAACTACTCCCGATATAAAGTTTTGTACAATGTTAACAGGTTTGCTATGAAATTTCGCTATAATTTTATTTGCTTTTTTAAGAGAGGACAATCTGGTCATGCATACAATTAGCCTTCTTGATCAAATGGACAAGGATATCAATACCTTTTCCATGCGTATCAAGGAATGGTTTTCTTATCACTTTCCGGAACTTGCTAAAATTGTACCTGAATGCTCCAATTTCATCAAAATTGCTAGCATTATTCGTAGTCGTGAAAGTATCGATGAAGAGGCAATTGGAAAGGTGGAAGAAATCATTGGAGACCATGAAAAAGCCGAAGCAATTGTTGCAGCTGCCAAATCATCAATGGGTATGTAATATGTTCTTCTTAAACGCATTTGAGCTTCATTAGAAATGATGTTTATTTTTTGTTTTGTAGGCTTGGATGTCACTGAGCAAGATATAGAAAACCTTGCCTACCTTACAGAAGGAATTAAAACCTTCTCTGAACGACGAGCAGCAACGTACGCTTATCTTACTGATAAGCTATCCGTTGTCGCTCCAAACCTAAATGCTCTGGTTGGAAGTCAGGTGGCAGCTCGTTTGATGACACAGGCAGGTTCTCTCACCAAACTTGCTAAATGTCCCGCATCAACTATTCAAATTCTCGGAGCTGAGAAGGCTCTATTTCGAGCTCTTCGAACTCGTGGCCGTACACCGAAGTACGGTCTGCTCTTCCACAGTTCTTTCATTGGAAAGGCTTCGTCAGAGAACAAGGGCCGCATCTCCCGCTTTTTGGCTGCTAAGTGTGCGATCGCTTCGAGGATTGATTGTTTTAGTGATGAGCCTTGCGATGTATTTGGAAATACCTTTAAGAAACAGGTTGAGGAACGACTGAAGTACTTTGAAACGGGCGCTCTCCCTAAAACCAACGCTGAAGCTATGCAAGAAGCTCTGAAGGAGGTAAGTATTTCTACTTCATTAAGGTCTGTTGTTCTGGGTTGTATTTACCAGTGCCCTCTTTTCAGGCTGAAATAGTAATGACTAAGAAAAGAGCTGAGGACGCAGAAATTGCGGAGCTTAATGGAAGTTCTCAGCCCGAGAAGAAAAAAAAGAAAAAACGCGACAGACTTGGTGTCACCGTTGAAGAAATTCCTCCAGTTGTAGAGGACCAAACAGCTGTAGATAATGAAGTTTTGGGTAAATCTGAGAAGAAAAAGTCCAAGAAACGAAGGCACGGGGAGATGATGGCTTCTGGTGAAATCGCTACTGAAGTGACTGAGAGTGTTCCTGAAGATGAGGCTCCAAAGAAGAAGAAAAAGAAGAGCAAACATCTTGAGGAGGAGAACGGTAACTTGGAGGCCGTAGAAACTACTATTGTTACGGACGCTTCCGTTATAGTAGGACATGATGAGAAAAAGAAGAAAAAGAAAAATAAGCATAAACTAACCGAAGAAGTGGATACTTGAATCTTTTGGGAGGTATTCTATTTCATCCTCTAATTGTGTACAATATTGCTTCTTTAAATTTTTACGTATTTGCAATTGCGTCAAAGTTCTGATTGTTTTTTTTGTTTGGCTGAATGGAGGGGAGAGGTGCTTGTTGCTGTTTTAGTCTTATTGTGGTATTGATTACCTCAGCATGTTTTAGGTGGGCTGTGATTTTTGCTTTCGGACCTGCGGATGCTAATAATTACATTTACAAGTAGAACAACTAGTGAGAAGCTCGTCGGATTTAACGTACCGACTCTTCGACTCGTGATTGTGGGTACGAAAGGGGAGCTTTATTGATTGTCGCGTTATCGACGCTTTAGCTCTCTTCTGAACGTTTTGGTTGAATTATGTTTCATCCTTAGAAAGTAACGCTCAAGAATCAGCTAACCTACCCAAATTATACTTATTATAAATCGGTCATAGTTAATTTAAAGAGACCGAAAATCATTTGGATTGACTTAGCATGAATGCGGTGTCGTCCCTATATCCCTCAAGGTTAGTGGAGGGGGGGGGGGGGGGGGATTGCTGTTTCGCACCCATGAAAGGTTTTTATTAATTTTGACCACGGGTGAACGCTTTATTGTTGACTAACCTGTGACTTAATACAATGAAGTTACATCATAATCTGTCCATCTGGGATTAATGAATAAAGTGGACAAGTCATATGAATGCTCTCTTAAAATGTATAACCGGACGCGCTTTGGTCATCTTGCATGCCCTCATCGTTCGATTTATTCTTTTCCTCATCTTCCCCAAGGCTACTAGTAATAAGCAAGCATTCCACCAGTAGTCTCTCACCTTTTGCTTTTTCCAAGACTTTGGGTACATAGACTTCTGTAACTTCATCATGTAGACCAAACTCCTACTAGATCACAAACCTTTACAGCTTGTAACTTATTACTCAGCGTTATATTCACTCTTAAGCCATCAACATTATTATTATTATTGGCCTTGCTCTTAATTACAAAGCAAGTAGCGCCAACTTGGTTAAATGGCAATTTACTTTCATTGGGGTGCTAAGCTCACTTCTTTGTGTATAAAGACAAAGCAAAAGAACCCAATGATAGCGATCTAGTTTATTAACTCCCAGGCGCGTTTTTGGAAAGTGGAGTATCTTGAAGCCTCGCTCGTAAAAATTTCGAATTCCACCACGCCAACATTGGAAAAATGAATCAATATGTTTGGCATTTCTGATCGTTTGGCTTGCACTGATGAGAATCGTATTATCGCAGTCATATTTTCTCTGAGATAAATTTTACACCGCCAAATGCTGCGTGTCCAATATTTTGATTTTTGAGCAATTTTGCTTTACTCGGTCAATTTGTTAAAGAAGTTTAACTTAGGAGGGAGGCTAGACCAGATTCTTCGACTGGTTGCAGGATATAGATCTTAAGGACGGTTAAGAAACTACTATTGTCTTCTTTCATATCTTTGAGTCTGGAAAGTCAATGGAATTTTTGCAGCACATAGTCACTTCTCTTTTTAACTGGAATGCTCGCATTTGCTAAGGTGCTAAAAGTTTACTCAAAGCGAGAAGTTTGGAGTGTCTTAGTACATCTCATGAGTAAATAAAGAAAATGGGCTTTGCAAAGGAGATTTGCTTGCAATTAAGAACTTTTAAAAATAGCCGACCTTGACCTAGGTCAGCCAACCAATGACAAGACTATATGAAAATGCGGGGGTAAAAGTTGGGGCTAGGGGTTACAGCTGTGGTTCCTAGAATAGAAGGAGTAGGTCTGTTGTATGACATCAAATGACAAAATTGCCTGCTCAAGTTATAATCGGGATAACAGGCTGAAATGGACGAAACCCATCCAGTTCCAAACTATCCTGAAACAGTAGACGGCTGAGAAATTGAAAACACAAAAAATAGAGGGGAGATGATTCGGTGATCTGTACTCAATAGCTTTGACAAAAGGATCATTCACAAAGGCGTCTTTGAGCGTACCGTGTAGGCTAAATGAGTAAAGGAGGTGGCAATCTTATAATAAGTGACTAATCTAATTTATTATGTTTTTTTTAAATTACAAGTTAAATTAACCTATCTCACCGCTATAATTACCACTATGATGCTGATGTGGTGGACAATTCAGAGAGGGAGAGGTATGAAGTGAATTCGTAAATTGTAACTCGACAGTTTCTCCGAAGCAAAGTAAATGAAAGTTTACATCGCTGCCACAGCCATCTCCTTCTCCTTTTCCTTGCGTTGTCAGTATGGTCGACATCTCTCCTCCTCCTCCCACTCCTACTACTTTGATGCCATAAACTCTCTCGTAGACTTATAAACACATTGGTCAAAATTCTGGAATGAATATCTTATCAATTAGGCTGTATTTGCTGTCAAATGATCTGATAACTTCTTACCTCTGAACTGACTGGATGATTTGCTTAATAAAAATGATCTTTCAGAGGAGTTATGCTTGCGGTTTACTCGAGTTTCTTTATATCAAAATATTAGGGAGCGACAACCGTTCAGTTATACTAAATAGAATTAAATTCCCAAAGTGAGATGATATGTTATTGTTTCCCAAGTAAACTAATTTCCCCCGAAATTATTCTTTTCAATTTCATTAAACTAGCCATTCACCTAATTCCCTACAAGAGATACTGCAAGCATTGTGGGCCGACCACGCAAATCCAATCGCACCTCTAAAGCACTTAATCAGACCTAAGTGTCGCTTTGTTCTTAAATTTTGCTTAAGAGGGAACCAAAAAGACCGTGACAAAACTGAAGCAAATGAGAAAAAGTGACTCCCGCTTTCTATTCTCAACTTCTACAGCCACTTGATTAGTCCGACAGTCGGTGTAGTTAAAAATTGCTCAGTAAGTTGGCATCTATCTTGTGACTCTTGACTCCTCAGACAAAAACAATGGCATTTCTTTGAATAACGCTCTTGTCGACCCTGAAACTTCCGAGGGAGGCATTATTTTTCTCATGGGAGGCCGTATACTTATCCACATCGGGTTTCCAAGGAGAAGAGCCTCTGAGGCTAGAGTAATGTAAATAAGGTAGGTCAGTATATTTGATCCGCAACCGCAGGAAAAGGATTAGCTCTGGGGCTGTGTTAAGAAGACTGAGGTGGGAACTGTGTTTGCTTGGCTTGAATCCGATTCAAGTGTAGGTATACACCAACCAGCTGTTGTGCTCCTGAGTTGGATGCCGTCGGCGAGCTGTGTGCTCAAACTGGAAGCAATCAGGGCGGCTCGTGGGTGATTTTAGCTATGCATACGTCATGATTGCCGTCTGTGTATGGCTACTGATTTAACTGGGAGTGTGCAGGTAGTTTTATGCCCTCTGGGGTATTTGCATAACATGAAACCGCCAACACAGAACTAGCACATACCTGGGTAATCCCATTATCTAATCAAAGCAAAGTATTTCGATTCCTGCTAATCGGTTTTGACACAATGGGGTTTCTTTTTGACTGGGGTGGTACATCAATCAAATCGTAACGCGTGTGTCCCTGAGGTGAAACGATACACTAATATAGTCTGCCACATAGTTAGACAACTATAGCACTTCCATCCACAATTGCTGGGACAGAGCCAGGGTGCCCCGCCACTCGTGGTTACGAGGTATTGATTCCTCTCTCTTCTAGGTGTAAAGATCTGGGGCTTTTGAGCCACATTCATTCATCCCAAATATCTTCATGATTACGTATGCTGTCAAAACTCAGACTTAAGCAATGCAGTGTACGTACGTGTTTATTTCGCCCATTGCAGCCAAAGTCTTGTTTTACATTATTTTCTACCTCCCTTCTTCTTTCCTTCTTTTCTTCCTTTCTTAATTCATTCATGCGCTCAAGCACTCAATCATTTCAGCATCGACGTTAACTCTATGGTTGATTGTGAATGAGAAAATAAAATTCCTGCTACAATTCATATCCATTTACACCAATAAGTGTGCATGTGGAGCAAAGAGCCACAATAACACTTGTACGAATTATTTCCACGGGATAGGGTAACTTCAAAAAGCAATTTTTTCGAGGGGCGAATTGGCAGGAATTGTATTAACTCCTGTAGCAAAATCACAATCATAGACTCGAAGGTGTGGATGCGCAACTTGTGGCGTAGGGAGCAAGTGGGATTTTGAGAATAGAGACCACTCAGTCAGCCACCAATCAATGCAAATTTCCTAGCTTGTTGAGGACATCTTGTGAGAGAGATTACGCCACATCAATCACGGGTTGTTTGTGTAGCAATAAGCCTATGGTTTAGAAGGAATACTGCTGAAGTAGAAGGAATGCCTCTAATGAATGCTGCGGCTAAATAGTGTAGTGAATGGCTCCTTCAATTTTCAAAGGTATTTAGAAGAAATTGTGCCCTCAACTCAAGCAGATACCACATTACTGATGAAAACGGAATTGAAATATAAACACTACTAACTGAAAAAAAGCGCATCTACAATTTCGCGCTTATCACTGCAAGTAATTTAACTAAAAATTGTACCTGAGTTTAAAACTTCTACTTTGATCGAATTGAGTAGCATGTTATGAACGAATGTGAAATAAATTATAATACGGAATGGAGTGGAATGAACAAGTA